GNATTTTACATGTATGGAGTTGTAATCGGAATAGGTTTACTCGCTATTCACTTAATACTAGATTCATGCTACTTGCTAGGTGTTCCCATGATATGTGGGTTCTTGAATTAAAGGGTTAATTCATGAATAAGAGTTAATGTGATTAACTCAAATTACAAAGAGTTGTAAACCCACTACTAGGATTAAGGTGAACCTAAAAGGTCACACCTATTATGAACAAAGGTGAAAAATTGTATTTCTAAAGAGTTAGAATTAATTGACATAATCTAATTTGATTAGATATCAATTAAAAGGAATATATTAATCAATAAGATTGATTAATTACATTTTGGATATTACTTTAGTAATTAAGGTAATTACTAAATTAATATGTTGGAATTTAAAATTGGATTTTAAATTTCCAAACCAAAATAATAATAATATGATTATTATAATATGGATGTAAATTGAGAAAATGAATGTAATAATAAAGTCTTGAAAAGATTCTCAAGATTTATTATTCTATTATTATTTTTATCTTTAAATATGATTTAAGGATTAAAATAATAAATATGATTATAATAAAATGGTGGTTAAAGGTGGTTTGAACCACTTAACATTATTTATTATTTTCAAAGTCAATAGTTAGTAAATTCAAAGTCAATAGTTAGTAAATATTATTTAAATAAAATCTGATTTTATTTAAATATTATTAAATGTTGATTATTTTATGCTAAAATGTTTAGTATAAATAGATGCAAAATGGTTTTGCATTTAACGTGAATTCATTCCTGAAATTTCTAAGTGTTAGAAAGAAGAATAGTTCTTCATAAACATCAAGAAAGAGTTCTTGAAAATTCCCAAAATAAAATTCATACATATTCCTATACAAGAAAACCGAGACATTCCTACTAGCGAAGGAAGGTCGTCGGAACCGGGCTTCATAGGGTGGATACGTTTAGAGGGAAGACACTTGGATTCCTAAAGTGAGTAACATCAATCCGTTGAAGTTATCAAACTGGGAACCGATTCCCACAATCCACATCGTCGTTGAAGGAGTTCAAGACATTCGGTAAATACTTTGTATTTGTATTTATTTTATATAACAAATCAAAATTTGTATATGATGCATGTTTTAAAGATGACGATCAGTTAATTCGCAATTAGTATGTATGGGTGTTGTATTTATACGATAAATACTTATTTTGAAAAATTTTAAATTCCGTTGCTTAAAGCCCGTACGGTACTAGCGAACACAACAATGTGTGTGAGAGCAAAAAAGATTTGGAGGATCATATTGTCAGCTTCTACTCATCTCTTTTTCATTCAGAGGGTTCCATCAGGGGAGAAGAGCTACTACAACACATTCCTCGTTCCATCTCACATGCTACAAACAACGATCTAATCAAGCAGGTTAGTGAGGATGAGATTCATTCTGCCCTTTTCAATATGGCCCCTGAAAAGACTCCTGAGGAAGATGGTATGTAACACCCCGCCTTCTACTTCCAGGCTTTTAAAAAAATAAATATTTTTGACGAAAATATTACATTAAAAAAAAAAAAAAAAATCAATATTAAAAAACGTAACAATCCAACTAAATACTCGATTTTATAAAACAAAAAATCAATTTACAATTAAGAGACCGAAAGAGTATATTATTATAAATATTTTCAAAAACTTATTTTTAAATGTAAAATATAATGATTATTAGTACATTTATCATTAAATAAATAATAGTATCTATTTAATTAAACTAGCATATAAAATAGGTTTCAAATATTAATATATTGTCAATAATTTTAGCATATCTTTACATATTTTAAAGAATTATAATATATATATAATTGACTTTTTTCAAAAAAATGAGAGGGGCCCCTGGGCCCCCCTGGGCCCAATGTGGCTCCGTCTCTGTTTTTGAAAATGCTATTACTGACTCGCGGGGTACTATTCAAACTATACTTTACTGCTTTTCTTATTTTTTTCCTCATGCAGACATAATAAATACATGCAACCTAATCAAATCCATTTAATAAAGGTACCATGGAGATTAATGTATTACACATGCATAATGTCTGAAGTCTCATACTGACCTGAATATGCGGAAACGTAAATATAATAAGTACACGCATGATAAATAATACATGTTCAAATAAATGACATGACATGCTTCATGAGGTGAATGTCTTTAAAGCCCAGTCCTCCTTGCTCCTTAGGTAAGGTGATACTGTTCCAAGATTTCCAGTGAATGGATTTTTTTTGCTCTCCATTACTCCACCAGAACTCAGCAACTGCTTTGTCAATGCTTACTTTAGTGGCTTTAGGAATGAGGAAGCATGACATTGTATAGATTGGCAGAGCATTCAACACTGAGTGGATAAGGACTTCTTTACCTGCAGGAGACAAGAACTTTGTTTTCCAGTTCAAAATTTTACTTTTAACAGATTTCTCCACGTAGGCAAAAGTATCAATCTTGGATTTACCCAAACCCAATGGCAGACCCAAATATTTAGAGGAAGAGTGCACAGAAATACCATTAAGGGTGCTGCAAATTTGGTTTGAATGTGGGTAGGGGTATTTTTGCTAAAGAAAATGGAGGATTTGGAGAGGTTAACAAGTTGGCCTGTGAAAAGGAAGTATTTGTTATGAATGTCAAGTAACAGGAGAGCTTGGTCATTTGATGCCTGTGAGAAAAGAAGGGTATCATCAGCAAAATGGATGTGGGTAAGATTAGGGCTATATTTACTGATTTTCAGGCCTTTCCAGTTTCCATTAGCAACCTCAGCTTTAATCAGACTAGAAAAGATTTCTGAAATCAAAATGAATAGATAGGGGGACAGTGGGTCCCCCTGTCTAATACCCCTGCTTGCTTTAACAAACCCTTTGGGAGCCCCATTAATATTAAAAGAGAAACAAGGAGAAGAAATACAAGCCATAATCCAATTAATAAAAGAAGAATGAAAACCTAATTTACACAGCATTTGACTAATACATGGCCATTCTACTCTATCAAAAGCTTTAGACATGTCTAATTTGATAGCCATATAAAAAGAATTGCCAGATCTATGCCTATTGAGAAAATGCAAGGATTCATGAGCAATAATAACATTATCCAAGATTTGCCTTTCTAGGATGAAGGCTGATTGGCTTTCACTAATACAAAGTGGCAGCCATTTTTTGAGTCTATTAGCAAGAATTTTAGAAATGGTTTTATAGAAGACACTACATAAACTAATAGGTCTATAATGAGAAACAAATTCATGATTTTGGATTTTAGGAATCGAAGAGATAAGGGTATGATTAAGGCTCTTAAGGATTCTACCTGATTCAAAAAAGCTAGAAACAGAACTACAAAAGTCAGGTTTAATAATATCCCAGAAGCTATGGAAAAAGGTGGAAGTCATACCATCGAGGCCAGGGGCTTTGTTGTTATCAATGCTGAAGAGAGATTCTTTAATTTCATTCTCATCCACTTGGGTTAATATCTCAGTGTTCATATCTTCAGTGATAATAGGTTGAATATTATTCAGCAGAATAGTGCCTCCTGTGGAACTCTCAGAGGTAAACAGATGAGAATAGAAGTCTTCAATGCAGCCAGTGATCTCCTCAGAAGTTGTGCAGGGAGTCCCATCTTCTTTCAGAATCTTAGAGATATTATTGACTTTTCTTCTTTGAGCTGTGTGGGCATGGAAGTACTTGGAGTTCTTATCACCATTCTGGAGCCAACTGATTCTAGATCTTTGCCTCCAATACTGCTCCTCTTGGAAGTTTTCTGAGTTCATTTCTCTTTTACATTCTTCCCATAAAAGCCAGTTTCTGTTATTACCAAGAGCTCTTTGCTGTTCTAGGATTTTGTTGAGTTGCTGGACTCTCTTCTTTCTGTCAGAGTTGAAGTCTTTACTCCACTTCAGGAGTTCCACTCTGGTGCTCTTGATTTTGGATTGGAGATTAAACATAGATGTACCTTCTGATGATGGATTTTGAGACCAAGCTGCAGCAACAACATCATGGATTCCAGGTTTGGAGAGCCACCTCTTGTCAAAGAGAAACCTTTTTTTGGGAAGATTCCGGGCTGGCTGAGTTTGTAGAAGAAGAAGACTGTGGTCAGAAGATGATCTGAATATGTTGTGCACCTGAGCTGAGGCATAATAGGCTGACCACTCCATTGAGGCAAATACCCTGTCAAGTGTTTCCTCCACATAGTCCTCCTCTGCTCTGCAATTTTCCCAGGTGTAAGGATGCCCCAAAAGCCCTAAGTCCTGGCCTCCCAGGTTGTGAATGAATTCATTAAAATTTCTGTATGAGGAATCTGCTCTGATTATTCCCCCCTTCTTATCCTCTGCACCTGTTATCTCGTTCCAATCTCCACCCACAAACCAAAAACGACCCCAATTTTGTTTCTCATGGAGAATAAAGTCTCTCTGCTCAACTCTGGTGGCATAGTCTGTGCTGGCATAGATGAAAACACCCCAGCAGGAAGCTTGTAAAATAGGATCCCAGAATTGAACTTGGAAACAAAAAGAATTCTTGAGGATCTGAATGATCTTGATGGAAGAGTGCCAAAAAATGAGGAGAGAACGACTCTTTCCACTGGGTTCAAAAGAAGACCAATTATCCCCTACTCCTATATTTCTACAAACAGTCTTGATAAAGTTATTTTTTTTTTTTTTTTCAAAAAGAAAGGTTAAAATTGGGGTGTGGAGTCTCAAACACTCCTTTAGTTGGGAGACTGTAGATGGGCCACCCAACCCTCTACAATTCCAAAATATAGTGCTCATTGATGGGGGTGGGGCCATTCTGGGCTGGCCTCCCTCACCACTGTCAGAGAAAGTTTTTGTTTTTTAGAGCATTTGGAAGTGGGAATGGAAGAATCAGGAGGGGAGAGAGGGTTTTGATCAGGTGAGGAGGTGATGATTAGGTGTCTCTTACCTCTGGTGACTATTGGAGAGGTAGGAGGGATGGTGAGAGAATTCAGAGTGGCCTTGGAATTGGGCTTTCTTCTCCATTTTCTAGCTTTAATAGAGGGGGGAGGTTTAGGGATCAAATCAGAAGAGAGAGGGGTTGAATGAGAGGGGTTAGCAGTGGGACAAAGAGTATCCACCACCATCAACTGATCAGATTGGGAGTTGATTGGGGGAATGGAGTGGACAGAAGGTGGTGAAGGAATGATAGGGGGTGAAAGGTTAGGTTGAGGAGATGAGGGTTTATGAGATGGCTGGTGGTCTGGTTCAGATATTAGGGATGAGGCTTTCTCAGAAGGTGAAGGTTTAGAAGGAGAACCAGTGCTGGGTTTAGGGGATTCAGAGTTGGAAGTATGAGATGAATTATGATGGAGGTGAGGGTAGTCTTGAGCTCTCAACCAGTCACCAAAGAGCCCTTCCTTAACTGAGGCATTATTGATGTCAGCTGATCTTATATCACAATTTCTATCTTGGTGGCCTAGAAAGCCACAGTAGAAACAAAGACTGACTAACTTCTCATATTTAAATTCTACCAGAATCTTCCTGTTCTGCATCATTAGAGAAGCACACCTTAATAGTGGTTGATTCAAATCAATAGTGACTAACAGCCTAATGCATTTGCCTGCTAGCTAACCACTTTGAGGGATAGAAACGTTCTTCATTAGCTTGAAAGCACTTCCAACTTTAGATCCCACTTCTGTAGAACACCAATCAAGGGGTAGATTCCACACTTGAACCCACAAATCAAGCTCTGAAAAAACTTTCTGATCTGCGTGAAGATCCTCTTGCCAATCCTTGAGAATTAAGAATTGATTTTCAAATGTCCACCCTGTGCCCTTGCTCAGTTTGACTTTGTCTTCTATATTGTCAAAAACAAATTGGAAATAATTGGAGCTGGTCTCACGAATAGTGAATTGGGATTTAAGCTGCCATATTATCCCAACTGCCCTTCTTAGCCTCGGAAGCTGAGCTTTCTTTTGACCATGGATCTTCCCAAAGAGACTTCGTTTACAGACCTCTGCGCTGATATGAGTGTCTGATACATCAATGGCTATAGGCTTAGCTTCTTTCTCTGAGAGTTGAAAGGATGTAAGTTTGTGAACAACTTCGTCCTCCATTGCTCCTCGACTGAGATATTAACACCAATGAATCAGGGAGAAATTGCGAATCCTCAGCAGCCTGAAACAGAAACCCTAGAAATCTGGTGGGTGATAAAATAGAAGAAAAATAGAAAGATTGAACTAAGAAGGAAGGAGAGAAAGATAATCCCAGAGAGAGGACTCTCTACTGAGTAACGGCCATCAAAAGAGACACTCTATCAACTCCGGCGAGGCGGGTAATCGGGGCTCCCACGAGAGGAATCTATTAGTTCTCTTGCTTTCTTAATTATTATTTTTTTTGCCTTTTATTATTTATCTATGAATAATTGGAGTTTTGGTGGTTTTCTTGGTAGGAACGAGTTTGAGAGCTCGAGCAGGGGAATACGGATGAACGTGAAAGATCTAGGTTTTGGGTTGAGCATGGGCAAAAGGCCTTCATGGGAATGCTTACTACACTCGAAGCATCTTCGGTTGGCGTACCATTTTCTCTTTTTATCTTTTTGTCTTGCTTCTTCTTTCTGTCATTTTTTCTGAGTTTGGTGTTCATGTGTTAGCTGCTAGGGTTGATTCATTATGTGAAATTTCTTGGTCCTATTATTTGACTTCCTAATTCTGTGTTGAAGCAATGAGGACATTGCCTCATTTTAAGTGTAGGGGAGTTTACGTGGATTCTGCATGCTTATGTGGTGGACCGGTCTAGTGTAGGTTTTGTGTGTCTTATGGGTATGGACTTTGGAATTTCAAGATTAGTTAAGACTTATTTGATGAATTCGATGAGTTGTGATGTTGGTCATATGCAGCATAGTGTGATGAAATGCGTGGTTGATTGCTTTGATTAGCATTCATATATCTACCTAGTGAGGTTTGAGCCTTGTTTGTTTCTTGAGATACATTGGTCGTGCTCTTGTTTGATTAGAACTTGCCCTGAGTCTGCATTAGAATAAATTGATTAGAATTGTGAACTGTGTATATGATTAAGGCGTTTATTGTATTCTATCCTATTCTTTCTCTACAAATTATTCTCTAGTCTCTCCTTTTGAGCCTTATTTGATTTTTGTTGATAACCTTGTGATGATGACGTTGTTGGAGTTGCGGCTTAAGAATTGGAGGGGATGATTGTTAGAGTTGTGTTTATGTTCTTTATGAAAAAAAAAGTCGAAAGAAAAAAAGGTAGCAGAATGGATTAAAAAATATCTAATAAGGTTTACAAAAAAAAAATGAAGAAGAAAAATTAAAAGAAAAAAAAATAAAATAAGATGGGTGAAACATGTGGTTTTAGGAGAAGTGTGGAGGATGATCTGGTATGTTTGACCAAACCGGCTGGGTGTATGATTCTGAGGTAAGGTGTTTGAGTTATGAATTCGAGCCACTTAGCCTAATATTTATCCTACCCGTCCAAAGAGCCTATGTTACAACCTTGAAAGACCTTTTGATGCACTAGTTTCGATTTTGATTGGTTTAAAGTAGAAGCTAGACAATGGGCAAGCATATGATTGAACTTGTTATCAACCAATTTGAGCGCACCTATCTTTATCTGTATAAGAATTCGAGTGAGGCACACACATATATTCCCATACTTGAGAGAACGCCAAGACGAAGTATAGCGATCAAGCATGTAGTTGTGTAATGCTCGTACGTGCCATTTGAATGCTCATTGTTGAAGTTGAATGTTGAGACTATCTTGTTACTGACTGTTGTCCATGCTCGGTTTGAGTTTTGTGTCTTTTCTTGTAAGTTTTTAAGATTAAATTGACGAACCTTCTTTAGTTCCCAGGATTCAGGCAATCGCAAAAATATATATAAGGGAAGTTTGATTTAAATTGCTTAAACGTGTTTGCTAATTAGAGTTGATTATTGATAATTCATAATTGTGATGGCAGGACTTTGGGAATAAGCTCAGGATTCACTTTCCATAATCATGAAGGAGAGATCGCGGACCTTGGGAAACAAAAGATTTACCTTATGAGCATCCTTACTTGGAGGGAAAGCTAAAGAGGGGACTTACCATACGTAGCTTGTATATAAAAGGAGGACGAGACACATGTTGAGGACGACTTCTTGCATCTTTGATTATCTTATGTTTTTATTTTCTGAGTGAAGGGTTTATAATCCGAATGTATTATTTGTGAGAAATTAAACAGAGTGTTCGGAGGTTCATTCTGTTATAGTTTGAGGGATTCGAACTAGAAAAGCCACAAGGGATTTATGGTCGGATAAGTAGTAGTGCAAATCACTGTTCAAGTAGAGTGTAAAGGGAGTCTATACTATAAACCCTTGAAGAGTGTTTGAGACGTTTGCATTAATAAAAGAGATCCGAAGGGAGAGTGGGAAGCTCTCCTGAAGGTTCAATTTTCAGTGAAACTGCTTCCGCAATTGTTTGAATCTTCATTTAATTCAGTTTGGTTAAATTGGATGCAACTCTGGATACTTGGTTTACAAGTATCAAACTTCAGTTGGCACCAGAGCGGGTTTTCGTTTGCATTACGAAAGATCTAAGGACTTGTGTTACTGGGCAATCATGAATCAAGAAAGTGGATCGATGTCTAGGCCTTCGCAACTAGATGGTTCCAACTACCCGTATTGGAAATCTATGATGACGATCTTCCTAAGATCACTTGGAAGAGGTGCGTGGGAAAGTGTTGAAAAAGGTTGGGAGCATCCTGTCATGGCAGAAGCACCAGATCAAGGAAAAGGAGCTACAACAGCTACGGTTTTTAAACCAAAAGATAACTGGACAGATGCTGAGAAGCTTCAAGAAGAAGCCAACTATCGTGCCTTGTATGCGATCATGATGGCAGTGGATCATACAAGACACAAGATGATAGTTCAATGCAAGACAGCAAAAGATGCTTGGCGGATCCTACAACGTCAATTTATAGGTTCAACGGCTGTCAAAGCGTCCAGACTTCAACAGGTGACTCTTGAATTTAATGTAATCAGAATGCAGGATGAAGAAACAACTAGTATTCCACCTTGTGCATTTGCACAGATGTAAATAAAATTAAATATTATAGGTTATATATTTGTATTATATTTCAAACATATAGTATTATAAGTTATATTTATATATATAATATTAAAATTATATATTATATAGTAGTATTATATTTTAAAATTTGATCATTGGTTAAAATAAATAATACACACGATTTGATTGTATATGAATCACTATATTGATTGCATAAAATGCGATAAATATATACTTTTTATAATTTTGAGTGATCATGACCAATTAATTAGCTGAAAAATATTACATTTATTATAACAATTGCTTATGTGATTTTAAGAAATTTTACTATAACATAAAAAAAATTAGTTTATTAATAAACAACATCTTCATCATATAAAAAAATATTGATTTTAGTGTAAAATATAATTTTATGTAACTTTCATATATTATTTAGTATAAAATATAATTACTAATTTTAATATTAACTATTATAATATTCATTAAATAATATAATTATTAATCAATTAACATAAAATATAATGATTTTTGTCTTAATTAACCCAAAAAATGTAATGAAATATTTTTTATTAATGAGATTGGGTGTATTAATGCCACATAAATAAAATTTATTAGGTTCTATTTATTAGGTTTTATTAATGATTTGCCACATAGGTAAAATTTATTAGGTTTTATTTATTATGTAAAATTTACTGCTTAGCTAGCAATTATATATATATAGATTAACATATACTATGCCAGATTCTGTGATCTGGTGAATCAAAGTGCCATGCTTGGAGAAGAAGTCTCTGAGAATCGTCAAGTTCAAAAGATTATGAGAACAGTTGCTCTCAGGTTCAGAGAAAAAATTACAGCCTTTGAGAGTTTTCAAAGAATTGCACCTCTGGATGTTGATGAACTCCTCGGCGATCTAAGAACGTTTGAGATCAACAATAATTATGACAAAGTCAAAAGAAAGGGACTGACTCTCAAAGCTGTTGTAGTTGAGGAAAAAGAAGACAGTGACGACGATGAAGGTTCGACGGTAGACGATAGCGAGCTGAAAGAGGCTCTTGCTGTAATGCCCCGTTTATTTGTAAATTATTTGGGATTTGTTTTTATTATTTTTATTGCTATTATTATTGTTATTATTAATTGGTAATAATATTTATATTTTATTTGTATTGAATGCCATTATATTTATTTATTTGTCAAATGTGATTAAATGCTAATTTTGAAATTTGTCTAATTGTTTAAATTGATTTTGTGATTTAATTAAATTATTAATATGAATAAATGTGTATGTGATAATATGTAAATTATATATGTTTATTTTTCGGTTTATTTTTATCGCGCGTTTGCATTCGATATCGAGCCCGATAATTTTGTTGTAATCGAATTGGGCCCGAATATATCTGTTTAAATTTTTATTTGAGCCCGTGAGCTGTTTTGTTGTCCCAACCGGCCCAAAAATCCTTTTGACCCAAATTCCTCGGGCCCGGCCCGACAGATTTTCCTTTTTCCTCTTTCCTAGCGTGAGTTTTTGCGTGTGTTTGTGGTTGTCTTGGACAACAAGGGATCAAAACCTAATATATGTATATGTATATATATTGCCAGCTCGTTTTGTTCTCTTCTCATTAAAAAAAAAAAGAAGAAACCCGCAGCCTTATTTCCTTCGCAGAAAGAAAACGATCGCAATATTTTTGTTCTCTTTTTTTTCTTCCTCTGTGATTTCATCGATCTTCCTTCATCATCACCCTCGTCGACCCATCTTCTCTCGCCATCATCTCTACGTCATCATCATCATCTCGCCGATCATCTCCATCGCCCCATCTCCGGTCATTCTCCTCTCCTCTCTCTCCCACGTGGAGATTCTCTCGCTCACCATCGTCGTCCTCATCTCCGGCGGCCTTGGCGCGCGTCTTTTCGGCGAGATATCTCCGGCGACAGCACCTCGCGCAGCAACCCTCCGGTGATCTCTGTGTGTGGTCTTTTCCGGCGAGCTTGATAATTCCCCGAGCAGCAACGTCCGGCGACCTCTCCTTTCCGTTCCCGGCGAGCACGTGAACCAGCAGCGACTC